AGTGAAAGTCCTGTCACGGTCGCCACTAATGTCGCGCTCACAAAAGGCTACCCGCTATTTGCGCTACGACGGTTCTATTTCCAAAGAAACTGGTTCCGGGGTTATGTATACTTAATCTAAAACCAAAACCGTTGCATGTCATCAACTGTCAAACTGACCCTGTTGCCAAGTTGTCATGAAAATATTTTGTTTTTATTTGGGATTATTGAATTGGTTTTAAATCAATAATAATCGCTTAATTTTAAACCACGGAAATGTAAGGTATTGGTTAAGTATAGGTAATAAAATGAAATTTTTTTCTTTTATTTATCAATCACACAAAACCATTGAATATAAAATTTAAACATTACATTATCATTGTTTGTTTATAATCTTGTACGAGAGTGAAATATTTAGCATTTATTCTGACAATGACGTAAAATCGAAATCACTATCATCATCATCATCAACATTAATTACAATTGGAAGAATTTCTTGCCGATCAAATAAATGTTCTCGCGCATACCACTTGGGTATTTCATCTTCGGTATGCCTGATGCAGTTTTTCCATATTTCTGGAGTTACGGTGGTTAGTGCTTCATCCCACATATTTAAACAAGAAGTTGCAGTAGTGCCATCGCGTCCAATATGTTTGTTGTAGTAATTTTTAGTTAGGCCCCAAACATGCTCGATAGGGTTAAAGACGCAATGATACGGAGGAAGACGAAGCACTTTATGACCATACTGTTCAGCCAAGTTGTCAATAAGATATTTTTGTGGTGGCTTATTTCTAAATCACTTTTCTATTACTATCACTTTTGAAGACTTTAAAAGACTCAAAAACTAATCGATAAATCTAACGTCAACCTGACAACACAGTAATTACTGTGTTGTTGTGTAAAGTTTGTCAGAATAAATGTTGAATATTTCACTCGCACAAAAGATTTTCATGACAACTTGTCAACTGACCCTCAGTTTGCCGGTTGATGACGTGCAACGGTTTCAGTTTTAGATTAAGTATAAGATTGTCTATTCATGTCATTCATATGGCTATTTTTACGCACCTTATTATAAATACACTCACTCTCAGTTGCCATGACGAAAAGGGCAGTTTTTGAGCCAAGTTGCTTAATTTTTGAATTTAGTGTCTCCCAAAATTCCGCGAATTGACTTTGTGCATGCGTGAATTTCCACAAAATTAGCGAATTTAGTAAATAAATTCGGAATTGGGTGAGAAAAACACCCTGTATGTGCCTAAATTCTGTCATCTTGACATATACTCTATGACACCCCAAATCGGGATCTCTAACCGTGACCGATCTAAAACGAGGAATATCCCGAAGAATTCACGAAATTTTCGTTCATCCGATGACAGACGGGGCGACCCGAAGAATGGGAAACGCCCCGAAGCTAGACCTCCGTCGGAATGCTTGGAATCCGACTCCGGCCAATAGGAAGCGGGGTTGCCCGAGAAATTCGAACCCACGTGACCATCGGAGTCTTCTAAACCGGTTTCCATGTGCATGAATACCGGTTTCGTAGAAATGTGTAGTAAAGTAGCGTAAATGATACATGAATGAAATTCTTGTTTTGGCTCGATGGTGGTAGTTTTCACATGTTGAATGAATTCAAGGGGGGGGTTTGGGTACTTTGAATATTCGCTGACTCAAAAGACTATTTGAATTTCTACGATTTCTATTCTCACTTCTTGTTTTTCTCTTTAATTTATCATATTCTCCATAAATAATGGATAAGTTTAATAATCTTCGTTTGTATAAATTATGCGTCTGGTCATGATTATTAATTATTTTCGAAAGGTAACTGACAGCTGTAAGTGTTCCTTTGGCATTTGATTGTATTAAAAATGGCCACTTTTGCCATGGTAACTAAGAGTGCCAGTATTTCAGTATAGCCATATTAAAACATTAAACTGACAATATTTAGAAAACTTAACACTTTTAGAATATACAACTTTACACACACTTATCCTTATTTTTAACACTGATTAAGATAAAATTATCCAAAATGGGGGTTACCGTTTGTAAAAATTGATTTTGGGCGGTTTTATCAACGTCATTTTGAAAATGATTTTTTTCACACTTGTATGAATAGTTATAAAAATTTTGCCGAAATTCGATTAAACTAAGTCTTTTTCATCAATAAATGCGGCTAAAATTAAGTAGCATATTTCCTTATAGAAAAAAATAATTATTATTCGATTGGCTGCAACTGTCATGTTTTACATAAACTTGATTTTTGATTACACGATTTGATTTGACCATGCTCATAAAATTTTTGTAGATTCACATTCCTACTTCAAGTAGTGACATTTTTAAGTTGCTACTGACTCTATCTTAGAAATCGCAACTTTTTTAAAGAGCGCAGTTTTGTGAAAAAAATAATTTCTAGACCACCATTTACAGAGCTCATAAAAATCAGATTTTAGTGCGATTAGAGTAGTACAATTTTCAGGACTTTCAGAGATAAATATCTTCTAAATAATGTAAAAATTTCCAGTTCCTACTTACTCTGTCATATAAATCAGGATTTTTTAAGGCTCACTAGCGGGAAAACATTAATTTCTACATCACCATTTAGAGCTCATAAAAATCAGGTTTTAGTGCGCTTAGAGTACAATGTTCAGAACTTTCGGACACGAATTTCCTATAAATAATGTGAACATTTCAAGTTCCTACTTGCTTTAACTTACAAACTACAAATTTTGAAAAGGCATAGTTGTGTGAATACATACATTTTTACAACAACATTTACCGAGCTCATAAAAACCAGACTTTAGTGCGATTACACGACAATTTTCAGAACTGTCATATTCAAATATCATCTCAACAATGGAAATTTTAACTTCTTATTTGCCCTACTTTTTGGCGCAGTTTTGTGAAAACATTTATTTATACCACTTTCTACAGCTCTGTAAATAGAGCACATAAAATCAAGGTTCAGTGCGATTAGAGTAATCTCTCTAGAGAGTCTCTCACTCTAATTTCTTAAAAACACTGTGAATTTTTCAAATTCCTACTTGCTTTATTTTAGAAATGCCAAACTTTTCAAAAGACGCAGTCACGTGGAAACATTCATTTCTACCTCATCCTTAACAGAGCTCATAAAAACCAGACTTTATTGCGATTAGAATACTTACAATTTTTACGACTTTCAGATTAAAATATCGTCTAAATAATGTGAAATTTCAAGTTCCTACTTACTTTGATTTGAGAGTTTCGAATTTTTAAGGAATTGCGGTTAATTGCCCGAGAAAATTCACTTGTAGCACAACTTTTTACATATTAAAATATTGCAAATATCAATTCAGTAACCTTTAAATAATATTTGCGGAATACTTGCTCCAGATGAAAACCGTGAGAGTTTTAGTCGAAGCTATAAACTGGCTAAAACAGGCAATTAAAAAAGTTGATAGTTCTGCCATTAAACCGCAAATGCGGCAACGCTGTATCGCATTTGGATTTCTGATCCCGCGAATGCGTAATTAGTGTCAAATTGTCATAAAATTTTGTTAGTTTTGACGTTTTTAAATGCAGTCACAAAAATGCAGTTGGTGATAACGTTTCTTTCTGTATACGTTTATTGAATTTATCGCTGTTTTAAACGTGATAAGTTATAAAACAAACTTCCTTAAGTTTGAACTGTATCAATATTGAATGATTTTTTAATCGGGATTTTCCGTTCTCTTTTCAATAAGCACGTTAACTTTTCTTGATCTAAGTTTCACGTTTCTGGTAAAGTTTATGAATATTCTTTGTCTATTAGCCAAGTTCTGTCGTTAATTTATATAACTACCTATTAAACATAGCGCACTTTATAAACAGTCAAACTTGCTTTCTACCTGTGGTTCTTTTGTACATATCTGTATTTGTGTAGTGACTGTTCGATTACTTTAGCGAGTAAACCAATGTGTGCTAATAATAAGTAATCTGCAATAAAGTCGAAGCAATTTTCACACAACAATTCCCTTGCGATCGTCAACAGAACATTTAAATAAGCCGCCAGTCTTTAGCATGATAGGTAAGTATATGCTTATCTTCGCTCAATATGCTTGACTTAACAAGTCAATAAAATTTGGAAATCAAAATTAGTCTTTTTGATAATTATTTCATACCACTTCTTCGTGATAAGTAATGTATTCATTCCGCGTAATCCACCAGACTTGCGTCAGAATAATTCATAAAAAGACAGTGCTATTTACCTGTGCTCCACGAATACGGTTTTACAGCAACACTATGAATAAACCACAAGTATACGTAACTCGTCAGATAAATGAAGAAGCCTTGTGTATCTTAAGTAAAACGTAAGTATTCTTTAAGAATTTTAACCAAAGTTGCGTCTGCAAAGAAATAGTTGATTTCAACAAAAGTAACCAAACATTGTGTTTCCATCCCAGCTGTGAGATTTCGATCTGGACAGGACCGGGCCCAGTACCTCGAACTGAGCTTCTGAAAAATATCGAGAACAAATCGGGCCTATTTTGTATGCTAACCGATAAAATAGACGCCGAGATTTTGAACAAAGCTGGGAAAAACCTAAAAATTATCGCAACCATGTCGGTTGGTTACGACCATTTCGATGTGGAAGAAATAAAAAAACGTGGTATAAAAATGGCATACACTCCAGACATTCTCACAGATGCTACAGCGGAATTGGCAGTTGCTTTACTACTGAGTACCAGTAGAAGACTGTTGGAAGCCAACGAAGAAGCTAAAACGGGTGGCTGGAAAGCTTGGTCGCCCTTCTGGATGTGCGGGCCCGGACTCAAAGGCTCGACAGTAGGCATTGTGGGATTTGGAAGAATCGGCCAGGAGATCGCCAAACGACTGAAATCGTTTGGGCCCAAACAACTCCTGTACTACAACAGATCTGAAAAACCAGAAGCTGAAAGGGACATTGGAGCCGTGCGAGTCAGCTTCGATGAACTTTTAGCTGAAAGCGACTTTGTCAGCGTCAGCTGCAGCTTAACCCCTGAAACAAAAGAACTATTTAACGAAGCTGCATTCAAAAAAATGAAAAGCACCGCAGTTTTTATCAATACGAGCAGAGGCGGAGTAGTTGATCAAGACGCTCTAGTGAGAGCATTGGAATCCAAGACAATTTGGGGCGCAGGATTGGACGTAACGACCCCTGAACCTCTACCTCTCGATCATCCATTGTTTAAACTGAAAAACTGCGTAATTCTGCCTCATATTGGCAGTGCTTCCATTGAAACACGGAACGATATGGCTATTCTAACTGCAAAAAATATCGTAGCTGCTTTAAAGAATGAACCTTTGCTTACAGAGCTTGTCGTGTAAAATCAACAAAGGTTTCATTCGTTTGCATTCAGATCTGCCAAGAAACATAATTTTGATTTTGTACATTTACACCAGTTTCCTGTTCAGATAGGAGAATTAGTAGGATATAAATCGATGAAAATTGCAAGAAATACAGTCACTGCTTATTTATCCAAATGCGTTTACTGTATTCAGGAATTATAACTATTACAATAGGAATTGTCAAAAAGTGGATTTAGTGTTTTTTTGCCATGATTTTCTTACCAGATTTATTCTTAGTTTATTTAATATGTTCAATGCCAATGTCCAAATTATAGTGATCCATATTTGTTTTATTATTATATATAAATAATCTTTATTTCCTACAGAAAAAGGCTATCGACCCAATCGGTCTTTCTGTCCGTTTTATTATAATTATTCAAAAGTTGTAAATTATATTTTTGTTAGAATATTGCCTTTTTCTTATAATTTTATAAATGTTTCAATATCCTGTTCAGCTTTTTTTCTTGGTTCTAGGGGTTTAAAAGAGTGTAGTCCAGCTTGTCCTACTCTGGCTTTCGATCTTTTTCAAGTCAACATATTAAAATCCCTTTGTTATCCGCAAAAACTTGTTTTCACGTTCAAACTTATTCATTTGCATTTTTTCGCAGTTGTATCTGTTTTCTGTTAGAGCCTTAGAACTATTTTTGCTATTTGCTATTTTGCGTATTTTTTTAGGAGATGGTGATTTCAATTGAACTGTAAATATCGTCATAACCATGTTTGCTTTGTATCCCATTGTGTTTTTATACTTATTGACTTTATTCACTAATTTTTGAAAACTGGCTAATAGATTAAATAGTGATTGGATGCAAGCGACGACAGATAAGGGTTCGTTATTTAATGCGCTTAGAAAACGAGGACAATTCTTTGGAACATTTGTTATTCATTGAATTCCTTTTTATATATGTTTTATTGGTAAAACTACTAAATATTTAAACGTTGAGACATTTTCTTGCGAATTTCAACGCACTGTAAGCACCAGCGTCTAAAATACAGACCCGGGTTTTCAAATTTTTTGAAAATTCTTGATTTCAGAACAAAAATAGCTACTTAACAAACCGGGGGTATATAAAAATTAAGTTAATAGTCGTTCTTTGAAAACGAAACCTTGGAACATAAATCTAAATAATGCGGTTTTACGCTGATTTAAAATTGGGAGAAAGTGTGAGTAAATATCCCGAAATTCGGTTTTCCAAATAAGTCCGAAATAACAATTCGAATCAGACGTGTATTTATTAGTCTTAATTGGTTTTTTTTTTCTCGCTTAAACAACTTCGTATTATTTCCGGTTCCCGATATTCAAATGCTGTCCCTTTTTATATTCAATCCAGTGGACATTCGTGAATGAATAATGCCCGCTATTAAAATAAATACTTAATATAAATTGGAGCACAATATAGAAGCAATTGAAACTTGATGATTGCAATCAGCATCGCATTAATCTTGCGAAAAAACGGAAACAAGTAAAGGAAAACAATTGACAACAAACAAGAAAAATCGGGTTCTTTTAAACAGCTATATTAATATTCAAAAATTACACAGTACACTTATTTAAAATCTACCTTTAGAACATAAATAATAAATACATCAATAGCAATGTTTTACAGGGGTGGGGAGTCACGCCAATCCAAATCTTACTATGTAATGAAACTACGATTAGAGCCCTATTATAAATAAATACACGCTATCACACTAATTCAAGAACGTTTTTGGGTTAAGTTTGTAAATCTCAGAGATCGTAGTAGAAGTTTGTAGCACAACCACAACCTTAGATCGAATACTGCGACTCCCCTGCCAACAGGCCCTTTGGAAAGCCTGTGATTGCCATAAATGGACTTGATCCAAATATGACAATCGCCTGTGTCGTCAAGCCAAGTCAGTAGCAGGGGACTGAGGACCCAACAGCTAAGCTGTGACATAAATCACCTGTATTGGGTTAGCTTCACGATATTAGCCTTGACAACAAAGCTACTTTAGATTAGTAAACAAGTTATTTGGACTTCTGAGTAGTTTAAACGAATTATACCTACAATTTCATGATTCGTAAGTTTAAATTACAATTGCTAATAAAAATCAACGCAAATGAAAAAAAAAAGTTCGAAAAAAAAACAGTAATTATAGCTAAAAATATCGAAAATGATATTTTAATTGACCTAGTATCGTAAAGTAACAATATACAGGGGGTAGCCCCAATCCAACAGCATTCAAAGCTGTGACGGGTATCGCCTGCTGTCCTTTAGTATCTACCAGCCCCTGTGTACAATTTCGGTAAATTTTAACAAGGAGTATTTAAATCGGGATAACTGCGCAGTTTTGAGACAAGCTAGTGTAGTTTTCTAAAAAAGCACGCATTCGAAAAGCAACAGCATGTGAATCTCCTGAATTTAACTCCTGTATGAAAAAATTTACCCGCAAGATATACCATACACCTCGGTTGAATTTTTATATGATCAAAAGCATTATTTACCTTAATTCGAAATGAGTGCATGGACAGTCACATATTTTTCGGCTTTCAGGACGTCAAAAATTTACATTTTAGAAACCTACCTTCATCACTGATAAAATTCTACTAAATTTTTCGAACAATAGCTAATTTTCTAAAATCCTCTCATAAATGGACATTATATATTCGTAGTATGTGCAGAATTACAAATATCCGACTCGTTCCAGAAAGGTGTATCAACCATAATTGACAAGGTTTCAAAGCTTACCTGTATGAAATATTACGAGATACAAATCTTACATTATGAGAATGTATGATAGTAACTCTGAGTCTCAATAATTTATTAAAACGTTTTGTTTCTGTGATCAACAAAAACACCTTCAGATAATTTATCATTTTTAGTCAGTGTAAACTAAGTTAATAGAATAAGGCAAATGTTGACTGAGATGATTCACGTTAAATTAAAGGCCTACTCGAATTAGAGAATCATGAGACCGCAATAGCGTGGTTAGATTGAAGTGCGAAAAGCTACAGTTGCATAAAGAAAGTTTTGAGAAAACTCCATTTTAAAGTGAACTCTTCCTACCAATAATTTAGATTTTGAGCGTTTCTTGCGGAAATCCTCCATGAACTTGAAAATTACCTTCTGTTACGTGTGAATTTCTGTAAAAACAAAGGCAAATAGGTGCTTTTGTAATTTTAGATCTGCACACGAAAACAGCTTGTCTTATTATGTTTTTAGAGCTCTTTTGCTCAGGTCAGGGCTTTGAATGAAAAAGAAAATTATCGATTATCCGTATTTATCATAAATTGTTCAGAGAGATGCTGTCATCATTTTTCACAATGCATCATTTGAACAAATTTTACTTGATTCATGCTAAATTGTTGCTGATATTTTGAAAATCGATGAATTCCGAACGGCATTAAAAAATCAAAAATTATATTAGAAACACCTTGTAACGGGTTATCCAATTCGAGGCTGGGAAAGTAAAACCTTGCTATTTTTCGTCGATTCCCCGACGTGCTCAACATTTGGGCTTGTCTTAGGGCACCCGCAGACGTGCGACTTTTGTAGCGCGACAGTTTTGACGCTGAACATGGAACATTATTTTAAATGCAGTCCCGCACACGAGGGACTTTTTGTAAATGTTACTAGCGTCTGCGAGCGACAGTCGCCGAGGATGGAACCTGTTCCATTCTCAAAGTTAGACGCAGCGTCTAAAAGACGCTAGCGATTGTGGCCTGGATCGAACTCACAGGACTGAACGGGATCAAGCAGACAGGCGACAAAATTGTGGTAGCGTCAGATGAATTTGTATACTTAATTTGGTTTGTACCGAAACGGCATGGTGCCACTTTTCACGCTTCAAAGTCGCCTGGTCTTGGCGACTAAATTGTCGAGCGTTCAAAGTCGCCCGTCTGCGGGTGTCCTTACGGCTCATTGTGGCGAATTTTGCAATTGGATTTGAAGCTCCATCCGTACAAAGTCTAACTGACTTAAGACCATGGGCAACACAGAACATACGCAAATAGGGTGATTGAACAAGCCGTTGATGAACCGATTTTTCTGCAGCGATGAGGCTCATTTTTCGCTCGGTGGTTACGTGAATAAACAGAACAGTCGTATATGGGGCTCTCAAAATCCTCAGGTGATCGCAGAAAGGCCTTTGCATCCTGAAAAAGTGACCGTATGGTGTGCTTTATGGTCCGGTGGTGTTATTGGCCCGTATTTTTTTGAAAAAGATCGAGGAAGAGCCATAACAGTCATTTCAGAGCGCTATGGACGCATGTTAACCGATTATTTTTGGAGAGAAAATGAAGATTATGATCTCGAAGACATGTGGTTCCAGCAGGATGTGGCTACGAGTCACACAACACTGGCAGTTAGAGCCCTATTGAAAGATAAATTATCAGGACGCGTAATTTCGAGATTGACTGATGTCAATTAGCCCGCAAGAACCTGCGACTTAACACCGTTAGATTTCTTTTTGTGTGTTTGAAAGATCGTGTTTACACCAACAATCCTCAAACTCTTGAACAACTGAAAGTCAATATCCGTGAAGTAATGACCGAGGTATTACCGGAAATGTGCCGAAGTCATTCAAAATTAGCTCAAAAAGATTGAGGCCTGTAGGAAGTCCCGTGGAGGACATTTAAATTATAGTAATCTTTATGTTGACTTAAAATTTTCGTATCCATCTGAATATTTTCTGTTTTTTACTTTACTTTCCCAAACATAAAATTGATAACCCTGTACATTGTTTGTATGCCAGACAAGTGTTGCATTTTTTTACAAACATGATCCAGCCAAGATCATTACTTATTACTACCAGATTATTAGTCTAAATATTTCGTTCATAACTGGGTTAAGAAAGTAGTAGTTTCCAGCCCAAAAGAGACGTGTTGCCATTCTCAGAAACAAAACAATAAAGTTAGATAGATTTCAAATAGATTAATTATAATTAGTCAAACAAGTTGGGTAGAAATTGAGTTTTGTTACTAAATCGTGCTATCTAGTTACTGCAATTCAATTTAAAGTCTTAGCCTAAAAATAATAAAATGTAAACCAACCTTTTAAGTGTATGTTGTATCACGTTGGAGAAAAAAAAATAAAAAGTTACATACCAAGTGTCGCTTTTGGTTTGACATTTTGCAAACCTGTCGAAAACAAAAATAAGTCAATTAATATGGGAATATATCAGGAATTATCTGCTTACAATTTAGTATCTTGTATTTGTAAAAGCGCACTATTGCTGTGCCTTCGTTAATCGAATTATTGTTTTGGTACATACATAAAGCAAGTAGGTACCTTAGTTATTTAAAATAAGCAACTAATGTCTTAAAGGCACACCAACAGTCTGATAGAACACACAAGCTATTACAAACACTTTGTGCTGAGTGCACGTAAAATCGTCACAAATAATGAGTTCTCATATTCTAAGTACTAATTATCAAAACTGCAGTTGCTTTTACAGCTAATTTATAAGATGGAATTATTGGAGAATCATTGCATTGTATAATTTAAACATACGTGTCTAGAACGGGTATTCAGAATATTTTCGAATTGAACACATATTTGAATAACCAAATAAAACTCGCCTGGATTCGGACATATTTCCTTCCTTGAATCGAACCAATATTATATTTTCTGCAGACAACACGAAAACTAAATTATGCTTAGAAATACGAGAACTCATTAAATTGAATTTTATTAATTATAAATTTAATTAATTAAATCGGCATCCCAAACAGAATTATTTGAAAAATGTTAGAAATGTTCTTAAGTATAGGTTCTATTAAATAGTGCCATTAAATTTTAAACTTGCGGATGGTAGAGAATCATCATTGAAGATCATCTGAAACGGGGCTGCATAATCATATGACCAGGAAACATGGGCGCACCATACATCATTCCGGGTGGCATTTGAATCATACCTAAAAATTGAAAGAAAAAAAATAGAAACATTTCTTAACGTTGACCGTGTATTTTGCGCTTTTCTATAGCGATATGCTCCAAAACTCTTCTAGATGTTAAATATACAATAGCTGGAAATATGTTATGAATTGGACAAGTTTTGATGGATGTTGTGCAAATGCGTATTATATAGGTAGATGAATTTAACTGTCATAAAAATGGTCACTTAGTTACAACAAAGTCTGTAGAGAGTACTTTCGAATTCCCTGCCCCCTAAAAAGTCATAGTAAGAAACTGATTAGTATTTCATTAGGCTGAAGTTTTTAAGTGTTTAGTGTACAAATAGAATAAATAATATATATCTTCATTAAATCAGCACTCTTATAATCTACCATTTATCACTTTTATGACAACAAAAAACATACAATTCTCCCAACCAGCACCAGGCGAGTGTTACAATGTTTGAAATTGTCCACGTAACTCTACCATACGTAATATTTATTTATTAGTTAGTTACAATTAAATTTCAAGAGCAAATCGCCAAGACTAAATATATCAATGAATATTGCCATTTTACTGCCACATACAAATTTAGTAGCTCCGATCAGAATAAACAGAATAAGAATACTTACCTGTAAAAATAAAATAAAATAACCAAAGGAAACCTAGGATATAAATAAGCTTAAATGTAAACAATCAACAAAAATGAGTAACTAATAGAACTAAACAACATTGAACTACTTTGAAAACACCATAAAAAATAAAACATCAATAATTAACAGATTTGCAGTAATGTCGCAAAAATGGCAATATCCAAAACCATCTACAGGTTCCTGGGTGATTAGTAAGTCATTCCTCAAAATCTAAAACTCCCCAACTAAAGGCCAGTTAATCTACCTCTTGCTAAGTTTTAAACAGCAAATCATCAAACTACTTTAAATGTTGTAATTGCTCAATTTGACGCCAATATTCGTTTGTTGATTAGCTAGTCTTTAACTTGAACTGGAGGTGAGTAACGGTTACCTAAGGCATCACTGCGCGTAGTAGGAAAATCAAATCGACGGATGCAAATATAAATACCATCAATCAAAAAAAATTACAAAAACCAACCAGACCACGGCAAAACTAAGCGAGTGACATTAAGTAAATAGTAAATGTTGTATAAATGCAATGCATGCTAACACATAAGAGTGCGTGAATTACTTCGGTACCTGCGTAGGTCGTCCAAAAATCGGCCCATACGTGCCAACACTGTACACTGTACACGAGTTAAATTTTACAGTCAATGAGAACTTTTGTCTTGAAAACATCAAAATTTTCACAGTAATCGGGCCCAGTAAATTGCTTGAATGATATCTAAAGAAAGTTTTAACGAACCACTAAGCTAACATACCAATACATACTTTAAAACCTGTTTTTCCTAGCATTATTCGTTCGTTTTTCTATGCTGGTAGAATTATTGCCAGTCCGAGCCTGGGCTTATAAATGTAATGTCATTATCAACTACCAATATGTACAAATTCGTAAAAAATAACAATGATAGTACAAAACAGGGCAATTTTTCTATGATTTAGACTTCACGCCACTTTCTTTAGAAAACATCAAAATCTAGCTACATCACAAGCAACTTATTATTATCTAATGTGAAATTGAACAGATACTTTTTAGAGTTTTGCGCGTGCTTCTATGCAATTGTATAAAAGACTGGCCAACTAACCCGAATAAAAACCGTATGGTATGCTTTAATCATCTTTATTCAGCTTCAGTCAGTTTGAAGTGATAAAAAATAAACACGTTCAAAAAATACAAAAAAATAACTGGCCTATTTTCTACACTTAAGGTTATGGATATGCGCTTCACAAAAAAATAACACAGCACATGTTATAGGCATTACAAAAAACTGGTTTGATCTGATCTTTAATGTGTTAAGAGATCGCTAATACAATACCAGCTAGAACAAAGGTTAATGTTAACACTTTGAGCAAGAGCTTTGTTATCTAGATAAAGCATATATTGTTGCTCTTACATTTACATTTCATTTTCCATCTTTATACGTTGTCAAATAAACATCCTGTGATATTAATATTCTTCAGTACTTTAATTTCGAATAGGTGAGAAGTAATCCAAGAATGTGGAAAGTGAGGAATTATTCGAAAATATCCGAAAGAAAATTTGAAAAATGAAGACAAATTTGGTGATTTAGAAAGCTTGACGCAATATCTAATTGTCGTAACTACAAACTAATCAATTAAAATAAAATATTGATGCTGAAATGATAAGTACGAACGTTTTTTTATCACTCAAAAAAATTAAGATACTAACTGAAACTCCAGAATGTATAGCTAATTAGTCCAACCCTACAAGAGTGATGCTACTTTTGAAATAGCAGTTGAGCTATCAATGTACCGACTCAGCATCGTTAGAATACCTCGTAGAAAAATATAGAGTAAATGCTAGCTAAATACATAACAAAATAATCATAAGTAACAAGTTCTCATTGATCAAAAGTCTATGGAACGTTGAAAGTGTTTACCTAAACGAACATTATATAGATAGGTAGTCCTTAGAGTCCTAAATGTTTGGATATAATACTTTGCAAATGGATTAACAAATTGTCTTGAGAAATCGACTTTATTTAACCCTAGATATTTAATACTGAAATAACCCTGTAGACCAATATTCTAATTTATGAATAAATTAGGACTCTAAATATACAGCAAAGTTTTATTCTTAATCATGAACCAATGTTCTTGTTGCGATAAATAAAACCTTACTTTTGAGAAAAACAATCTAGGGCCAAAAAACAGGATTTTCCGATCATGAGTTAATGGATCATCCGATGATTTTACCTACCTGGGGGCATACCGAGATGCGGCGGCCGCATTAGCGGCCCCCCTATTAGTGGCCCGCGAAGCACACCCATGGTAGGACCAGCCATTACTGGCGAGCCTGCAACTACAGCCAGAGGTGGTCCTGCAATCAATGTAAACTCAATTCAAGAAGGGATGAGATGATGCTAAGCAGTTTCAGTCTCATTATTAGATAAACTAAACCATCGTTATGTGTAGGAAAACATTCAATTTGCTATTTTTCTGAACTCCTGTTAACACATTAACTGGTTAAGTTTGGATGGAATCCCTTTTTTGTCCACTTGTTCAATAACTGTTTGATTAGTGGGCCGCACAAGTGTAGGGTGTTTCACATGTCTGCGTTTGATTTCCGTATCGTTTTCCGTCAGCTAGAGCAGCAAAAGTAGCTACATTGGCGATCATTGCAGGTTAAAATCTAATTAACTTATATAAAAATCTGAATCAAATAGATATTTGGAAATTATAGAGGCCCCCTATTAGGCATACATTATTTAGTGATAACAAACAAGTGATTAGATACTGTGCTATATCTACTATCACCAGTTAAAATCAGTTTCTTTCCAAAAAGTTTCATGCATTTAAGGCTTACCATGCACCGCAACCTTCTAAATATGCAGTTACATTTGGGATCAAAGATGTTTAATTATAAAATGTAACGATTCGAAATATCAAATCGTACCTGTCAATATAAAATTTATCCAAACTTTAAATTACGCGAATGAAAAGCTGTAATAATATTTTAAATTTTTTCGGTTTGGGGCAAAAAAACACTACATATTGTACTTACCAGATACCCTTACGGGATATCCTGCCGCCGCCGCTGCCATTCTACCCATCATTGCCATGTGTTGCTGTTGAGCTTCATGCGCTTTCGCTTGAATAACAGCATGATTTGCTGCTACTGCTTGAGCCGCAGATACAGCTATAGATAACTGGAAATAAATAATTATAAATTATTAATAATTCAGAGCTGAAACCCCAATATCTACATTTTTCAACTAATGTAATAAACTAAACGTCATTGATCCAGATGGTTTAAAGTAACAATAATTCAATCTACTTACCTCAGATCCTGCCGTACTTGTACTCGAGCCTCTGTCGTCATTTTTCTGCCAATCATTTTTACAATACTTAGGATCCCTCGCTCGAATTTCTTCTAACGAAATATCTTCTAAAGGATGAATGATTTTACTCGACGCCCCTGTAGCTGCTATAGTATTTACTTTCGCACCCTGGCCACTGCCACTAGGTGTATTCGTAGTGGGAGGAGCACTAATTGTGGCACCTAAATGAAGAAAAAAAGTTAATTTAATTTCTATAAATTTTAAACATGTCTACCGAATAAAATTAACGAAATACTAGAGAAGTAATAATAACATGATCGTTGCAAGTAGAGTAATATTTAAGCTACATTTCTAACAACAGCTACCGATTGAGTGGAAAAGTTGCAAAAACTTACCTGATGAAATTGGTTTAAAATCGGCACCCACAACTGCGGCTCCTGGAGACGAAGACGGAACTGCACTTGGGAATAGAGGTTTAGGAGGACCAGGTTGTCCTTGCATCATCATGTGCTGAGCCATCATGTGTTGGGTCATACTAGCGAATAGAAATGATTAGTTCGAATTAGTTTGAAGATTAACCCATTACAAACTTACCTAGGATGCATGAATGGGTGCCCGGCCATATGTCCCATGGACATCATTTGCATACCTGGAGGCATGCCAGGTGGGGGATGAACCATTCCATGGATCATTCCTGGGGGCAAAACTTGCATTCCAGGAGGGGCATTTCCTAACAAACCTTCTGGCTTTGGTCGCTTATTGGCAGGCTCGTCTTCATCTGAGGACTCGGCCCCTCTACTATTCTGTTTTTGTCGTTCATGTTCTTTGAGGTCGGCTGCAGGTATTCCTGATACAGAAGAAATAAAGCGTTTAACAAACGTCTTATCCCAAGACTCCTTTTGAAACGTTTCATTAGGTATATGTATTTATAATGTTTGGAGGAATTATTTCTGTTTATTAGAATTGTGATTTCCCGATCATATTTTCTTATTTGGCAAACATAGCGCTAACGTAAATTGACTTAGTTTATCTGTTTCAAGTGCATCCTGTATGGTGTGGCGGTTGATTGTTGAAGTTGAAGAAGTTGATCCAATTCCTTTACTTTTATCACCATTATGCAGCTTTCCGGTTTAGCTTTTTCATTCGAACTTGAGGAGAGAAGTGATAACTTCCACCAAATTGTTTAATTTATATTTTAGAAACCATACCCGAAATAAATGTTTCGCTTTTCCATTCAGTTCCTCGCGTTCGAAGATAACAATATGCTCACTTTACAGGTAATCCTTATACGAACAACTTTTCTTAGCTGCGCTTCGTGTGGAAATGCGCTTTTCGACTATTTTTCTTTGGAATTCACTACATTTTCATAAATCAACAAAGGATGACAAGACGCCAACCATTAATTTTTTTAGTTTTTTTGTTAGTTTTGATTGTCCTTTTTCAAATTTATGTTTTTTATAATGTTTTATAAAGTATTGATTTTTTCAACACGTTTCAATGAGTGAAAAGAGGTCGAAAACCGCATTTCCACAAAACTTCTTAGTACAGATTATCTATATGTTGAGAAAAATTGGTAATTTTGAACGCCAGAGTTTGATGAAGTAGATAAATATCTAAATGTGCTTCTAACACCTATCATATCATATTTTCATATAAGAAATCGCAGCCAGCTTTTTACGGAAAATATTATTAGTACACCCCGTTTATGAAAATAAACAGACAATATATGTAAATAAATAAAAATTGATGTGTTTAAGTGGCATGAGCGATCAGTGTTATCCTTTTTCAGACGTATATCTGACAGGAATAAAGGAAATTAATTTCATTTGAGTTTAGCCCCGGTCAACACATAAACCCGCCCTTTAACATGTGCGCAGTTTGCCATTTAACATAACCCCACATACGGGCAATTATTCCCATTTGTTCACTTATTTGCATTCAAATTAGACGGAATCCGATTTAAGTGGAATTATTTCCTAAACTTGGTTGGTGTAAATGTTTCTTAATGTTTAAAAGCCCCATTATCTTGAAGTTAATAAGTCGCACACATAATTTAGAGCTAAATCTACTGAATAAGTCTTACTGGAAATATCTGATTCTTTTAACTAACAAGTCATTGACTTTACCTCTAAAATAATAAACCAGTTGTGGATTATAAAACATGGTGACACAGAATTGCTGCAATTACTTCATTGCAGATAAACCTCTTAAAAATACAATTTTATTTTAAAACACTCCTGGCAAGGTTAAATAGAACACAACTACTGTGCTCTCGTGTTTACCAGCGACTATTTATAGACTTACCCTCCATTCCGTATATCTCTATATCTACGTTAGAACGATTTGGTAATGAATTGGGGACTTTGTCTATGGTTTCCTTGTGGACTTGCATACAATGTATCGATAATCCAGGGCCTGTGTACAGTTTCTTATGGCAGATATGGCATTTGAAATGTTTGGCTTTTTGGTGCTGGATAAGAATTTTTTCATCGTCAAATTCCCTATTGCAGTACCTAAATTTGGATAAGGAAGTAGATTCTATAAATATCCAGATGGTCAGTTAAATTTAGACTAATTTACGCAAGGAATTGGAAAAACTAGAGCAGCATCCAGACGATAAGGTATTATACATTGAAAAAGGATACCAACACCATGGCTTCGATTGCTTCTTCTTTTTGCGACCCATTATTTATATAGAGTACGGCTAGATATCGGTAAAAATCACAGCAAGTTGTATCCTATCTAACAAAAACACTATAAATTTAGAACAAACACAACTTTTCAATGCTTCCTTTACAAAATGGCGGTATTGGCAGTGTGGCAAATGCGCAGCACATTGACAAGCGAAAGTGACAGTGCCGTTTATAAAGCCATCTGTAATTTAGCTACATGTTGAGTTAGTTACTATGCAGGCCCACAGAGTGCGGGAACAGACTCTCAGATTTTTAATAATTTTATAATGCGGTAGTAAATTACTGATTTATTACAATTTGAAATTACAGAGTGTTTGAGGAGGAAATACATCTTTCTCCCAATTTACACAGTGTCATTTACTAGTTTAAAAGGATGTCGCGTTTGAAATTAACAATCTTTAATTTAATTTAATTTCCTGTTAATGCCTTAAACATAGATAACGCCGTTACTAAGAAGTTTTTAGATCTTGTTTCATGTAACAATTCGGTTTTTGATTAATTTTACTTATGGAGATTTGCAATTTTTTCATAAGACAATAAAGGACGCCACTACGTCCACGCCTTCTGTTTCACCGATATCAAGGTTACGCTACATTGTGAAAAGTTTCGCTATTTGCCAAATCTATAGTTAGTTTCTATCTACTTAATTTTTTCTTAGACTCATTTTATAGCTATTTGAGTTAGTTTTGTTGATTTATTGAGTGTTGGTTCGGCAACAGGTTTGAAAGTGCTTTTTACCCGTGCGGCAGAGTTCAAAATAAAAAATGTGAAGAAAGATTACCTGAAATAAAAAAAATATTTGTCTTTTCTTGGAAGAGGAAATGTGTTCTGGCTTTTTTTGTTTCGTGTAGATCAGAAGATAAACTAGATTAATTTCTGTAAATTAAAATAAGTTCGTTATTCTTCCGAAAGATCGGAAATACAAAGATATGTGCGCCATGCTCGTCCAAAACTGTTAGCCTAAATGCATCAGTGTATCTCTTATTTTTCATCAAAAATGTTTTACTTTTCGAATAGAAAATCGGGAGATATTCAATTTTTATAGTGCTTCACTGAAATATTTAATTATTTTAATAGTAATATAGTAATATGTCTCTTTATATTTTTGCTGCTAATTACACCAATAAAGGATTGCTGTCAATTTTGAATCACCCTGTATCACGTTCTCTAATTTTGATTCTCAGCAAAGTAAAACAGAATATACACTTATAGATATTTATAAACAAGTATGTGGTACTGAATTTTAAGAATCTGTTGTGTATTTTTTTGTGCTGCATATTTTGTATAACGAGATCGAAAACCGGAAATATCCTATATAACTTATAGAATGCTGACACAGGGGGACTTTGATCCTTGAGAAAACATCCATCATTTGCTTAGCAAGTGATAATGATTGATCGTCTTCCATTTTTTAATGAACGCCTTGGTTAAACGATTAACTCGTCTTTTTGAACACGCCACGTGTAACATTTATCTCTCAGACGAGTTAACGGCTTTGCATCGTATCGTTATTATAAGAAAAATTACATTTTTTGTCGGCGCATTTTTCAGCCTTATTCATCGGGCTAGTCTGGACCTTCTCTGCTTCTCGAGTTTAAATTAGCTATCAATTTTTACATGTTTTTTTTTTAATTACTTAATTATGAGCCATTGATTTCAGACAAGTACATTTTGGTGATTTTTTCGCTAAGGCACTTTTGCGATTAAGTCTGGTTTTTTTTGTTTGCCCGGCGGCTGGAGGAATAAAACATCTTCGCGAAGACACCCAGTGTTCCGAACCCTGGGTAGTGTTGGATTTTTACCAACTGAAAAAACATTTTTGTACTACGAGTTTTCGGGAGTTATCCTTTAAGACTTGTAGTCCTCTTTAAGGATTTGTCAGCTCCGACATCCGTATCTCATAGCATCGCATTCTCTCCATGCTAGCAAACAGCTAGCATGGACATCTTAATAATTTAACGCCTTAACTTATACATGTATGCTACTTCGCGTTGTAATACAATATTACTTGGGGCTACGTTTGATTAAAAATAATGAATTTTATTAAATATTCCGGAAACCGCTTTAGATCGATATAGGAATCGTTATGCAGAAATAATGAGATCTATATCACCAATCCAACCGTGCAATAATATACAGCGTTTCTCATCTAAAATAGCAAAGTTGTATGTACGTTTCGGTATAAGCGGCAACTTCGCATTGTTGAAAATATTTTAGGCCGATAGAGAATGTTCGGTGACTTCGTTATAGCAATTTGCAGATAGATCGTGCATGGCGTTCTCCTTAAACGTCTAATACGCCATCGACAGTGAATCACCCTGTATATTGGGGCCTGCTTGAAATTATAGCCTTTTCTTGTACCTTTTGTGCATATAATTTTTAAATTACATACTTTAATAATAATTAAATTATTCAATTACCGTTTAGTGTGAAAACCGCCACTATTTGCTCAAGCCATTTTCAATTGGTGAATGTCAGCCGATTTTGTAATTTTGCCAAAACCGCATAAAAGTACTGTATAATTAATTTTAATAAACATTTATTATGCGATAAACTTTTCTTTCGCAGTGAACGAACTAAACCAACTTGTTAATGGCCATCCGATTTCAACCCAAAGGCATACACTTTACCTATTTTAAAATGCTATTTGTCATAATTAAAACATATTTGTCTAGCAAAGTTCGGAACAGTGGCCCTAGGAAACTCTTTCGACAAATTAGGTTAAATGAAAATTGTGTTTCCCAAGTGGCGGGAATTAACTATCCCGGTAGGCAGCTTTTTGCCTTGTTTCTGCCCTTAAAATTGTATAATTTCGAGACGGGGTAATTTCGGTTTGCCAAAGCCATTTCGTGGTTTGGGCTCCGTCATGTTAGACGAGAGAATATGACGCTTTTTGCAATCTAGAAAACACAGCGTAAAGATACTTCAAATACGTGTACTTGCACTAGTTTATTTACGTGGTTTAATTAATAACTTAACCATATTAGGAACGCTATTTTCCTTTAATAGTGTGGCAGGAGACGCACGAAATTCTTACCAGAAAAGACCTAATTATTTACAGCAGTTTTACTATCTAACTAAACGAAAATTTTCCAATTTTTTTCTCAAATTTGTCTCTAAAAAATTCTGTGAAATCCGTTTGGAATTTTGCAGATAATCTCACTTAGTTTTCAATAAATCTGCTATCTTATGATATTCTCGTTTGTAGCAAGGTTAAAACGTTTTTATAATTTAGTCTTAAGAACCCTGTTAAACATGTAGACGTTATTTTTAATTTTTTCTTGAGTTTTAAATGGAAATCATGTTTTTTTGCATGACTGATATACAGGGTGTCCCGTAATTACATGATCAAAAGGGTATTGCGATATTCTTTGGACCAAAAGAAGACGATCTGATCTAACTTTTTTTAACAAAAAATGTCTGGCTCCTCTGCTATTGATGGTCAAAGTTCTTCAAAAAATGTATCTCTTTCGAAATATCGGGTGAATGGTACGATGTATTTTAGTGAAACTCGCTGTGAATTTGTACTTATGTATGACTCATATTTTGATGAAACAATGGAGTTCAGCCGTTTTGGACAAGTGGTGAATTCTTGAGTGTCGTGGTACAAAAACTACCAGAACTTTTTAGGTGGTGGATGAAATCAACTCATTTTTTTTAGGTTGATGCACTAATCATTTATTCACAATTTTGTGCTCTTTGGAAAATCTTGTAGCATTCATAGTTTTTGCGAAAACAAATTTCTGTTTCCTTGCCACTTAACAATGTTAGACATTAACTGCAAATATCGTGATACGAGGCATAAAATAATTGTCAATCAATCTCACAAATTCGTTTTGAAAGACCTTTTCTAATGAAGAAGTGACCGACATGGTCAAAGTATTAGAGTTTTGCGAAGACAATTTGCGTGAAAGCGTAAGCGTTTACGCGGCGCATATTTGCAGTAAATGTCTAGCATTGCTAAGTGACTAGAAAACAGACATATTTTTTTACACAAAAACTATGAATGCTACAAGATTTTAGAAAGAGCACAAAATTGTGCACAAATGACCAGTGCATCAACCTAAAAAAAATGAGTTGATTTCATCCTCCGACTAAAAAGTTCTGGTAGTTTTTGTACCACGACACTCAAGCATTCACCACTTGTTCAAAACGGCTGAACTCGATTGTTTTATCAAAGTATGAGTCTTACATAAGATCAAATTCACAGCGAGTTTCACTAAAATACATCGTACCTTTCTCCCAATATTTCGAAAAAGATTAATTTTTTGAAGAACTTTGACCATCAATAGCAGAGGAGCCAGATTTTTTTTGTTAATAAAAGTTAGGTCAGATCGTCTTCTTTTGGTCCAAAGAATATCGCAGTACCCTGTTGATCATGAGCTAACGGGACACCCTGTATTTTCATAATACTATTATTTGTTCTACAATTAATTTTTATTAAGTATTTGGTTTTTCTTAGATTAATAGTCATTAGTACCGTTCAGTCGTACTTTCCTTCTGATCTTATGCGTCTTATGATGCTCAATAGTGCGGTTTGTCAGTTTAAACATTTTTATTACCTAACTTTTTGTAATATTAACAATTTGCAAACAGTTTAATTGTCTGTGGAAAAGTTCTCCATTACCGCCTGCATGGCAACAACCAAATATAACACAACAAAATAATGGCACTTTATAGTTTTGTTAACTGCATGATATAAAGCTTTAAAACAGCCATAATTCTGCTAGCTATGAGCCAGTTAAATTTAGTAAAGTTGTTTATGCTAGGCAAAGTTCAGCATCAAAAATTACGATGCTGATATAACTTTGCAATGAGTACTTCATACGTATCATGAAAGATTAATGCGTTATATGGATGTAACTAGATGGACTGAAGGGAACTTGCAAAAGCACATTGTCCGATAGGAGTATAAAAATTGATAAAATGTAAAAAGCACATTCAAGTGAAGAATTATATAAATTAAATCGTTTCACTTAAACCAGCACTAACATTATTATTTATCGCTTTTAAAATACCACCATATGCCTGGCATCTTCCATAATTAAATAGAGTATTACCAGATAAAATCTTTTATCCAATTCGCTGGCAGTTTGCAACATTTTGCCCTCGTAATGCTGAAATTAATGTTGCTTTTCTGAT